TTAAAGCTCTATTCCGTACCAAGTACTATGTCAGGCATATTCACGCATTATTTCAGTTAATTATCACAACAATCCTTAATGTGTTTACAGATGAAGAGATAAACTTGAAGAATTAAATATCTCACCCAGCAGCACACAGCTAGTAAGTGGAGAGGGTTGGAATTTGAACACAGATATGCCAGCCCCTCTAAAGCCCTGCTTTTTACCAAACTTTCTTACTCTGCAGATAACTCTTTATTCCTCTAACCTTTATCATGATTCATTTTAATTGTTGTGCATTCCTTTTCTTTCTTTATTTTATTTTTTTTTTTAGTTATCTGTTGAAACATCATTGCATGTCCTATTTTCAGTGTAATGGTCTTATAGCATCTTCAAGTATTGTGTGGTCAGTTGTCATTAAAATTCCCAAGCTTTACTGATGTTTTTTAACAGCTTTGTTGAGGTATAATTGACATAAATAGATTGCAGATATCTAAAATATGTGATTTGATACATATTGATATGAGAATAGACCAGAGAAACCCTCACCATAATTAAAATAATGAACATATCCACCTCCATAAATTTTCTTGTGCTCCTTCCAGCCCCTCAGTCAACCACTGATCTTCTTTCTGTCACTATAGATTAATTTACATTTCCTAGAATTTTTATATAAACAGAATCATAATATATACTCTTTTTTCATCTGGCTTCTTTCACTTAGCATTATTATTATTGAATGTTTCAGTAGTTCATTTCTTTTCATTGCTGAGTAGTTGAATATACCACACCTGATGGTGGGTATTTGAGTTGTTTGGGGTTATTATAAGTAAAACTGCTCTGAACATATGTTTTGGGTAGGTCATATAGTGGGTATATGTTTAGCATTTCAAGAAACCTCCAAACCGTTTTTCAAAGTGGTTTTACCATTTTACATTCCAGTCAGTAGAGTACTAGAGTTCCAGTTGTTCCACTAATCTTGTCAGCACTTAGTATGGTCAGTCTTTTTAATTTTAGACATTCTAATAGGTGTGCGGTAGTATATCATTGTAGTTTTAATTTTCATTTCATTGAGAATATTGAGCATCTTCTCATGAATAAAGTAATTGTCTTCATTATAGGGATAAGGTCAGTATAGAGATATGTTTGAGAAGTTAAATATAATTTTCCCAAAGTCACACAACAAATAAATGGAATAGTCAACATTGAGACCCAAGTCTGTCAGACCCAAGAACCCATTGCTTCCTAGTTCATTAAAGTACCTTAAAGCTGATGAAGTTCTCCAGAGGTTATTTTGCTAAGTACAAGAAGATGGCTACTAAAACCAACTCAAAAGGTTCTCTTTATCTGCCCTTGCAGTAAGAGTAAGCATTTTACAACATCTAAGAAAGGAAAAATTAGTACAGCTAGAAAGAATAGTTTTAATTTAAGTTTTCAGATGACTGGAAGGAAAAAGGGTAAGAGAGCAGTTAAGAAACAAGGCAAGGTGGCTCCATAGTGTAGTGGTTAGCACGTCTGCTTTACACGCAGAAGGTCCTGGGTTCGCACGCCAGGTGGAGCCATGGACCATACCCTGGGTGCGCAAGGCCCCCCGGGTATACACCCAAGTGTGTGGGAGGAGACACCCCGCCTTCAGAGATCCAGTCCTTAAGGGGAAAACGGCAACATCGGGGTGGGAATTGGGGGAGATTAAAGAGAGGGAAAAAAAAAAAAGGAAACAGAGCAATGTAAAAAGCATATGGCAGTGACCCCTATTACCGTCACTGCAACCTTTCATTCTCTTTCATGAGAATCAGAAAATGAACTCAAAATAAAGAGAAGAATGTTGAGTATTAAACAACGTTGCCAAGATAAAATGTTTTGGGTTGATTCTCAGTGCCAAAGCACAGAACATATTAACATTCCTTACATATTTTTGGAAATGTGTACTACCCACATTGGCTTTTAGTTTTTATAGATGTATGGATGTTTTGGTTTGGTTTGGTTTGGTTTTTATAATGCCCCAATTTCTTTTTAATGTGTATAACCTTTACTCTAGAATATGAAAGTAATTTCTAGCAAATGATCCTCATCTCTTGTGTCACAATGCTCTGTTGGAAAACAATGGAATCATAAGCCTGAGATGATTCGAAGGGTCAAGATTTGAGTCTATTTTGTCATTGACCTGGCTGACCATAGATGAATTATTTGTAAGATGAGGTACACAATTACCTCACTCAGTTTTGGAGAACTTTCAACAGTAGTTATAAATGAGAATATACAGGGATTTTGAAATAGAGGCAATAAATGTGACAGAAAATATGTACTGTTTATTCTTCTGGACACCGCCCCCACCCCAATCCTATAGAATTTTATTAGCGAAATAAAGAGAAGAATAAAGAATGGAGTCATTAATGATGATTACTCAAGATAAATCACTTTAATTCATTAAAAAGTAGAACTTGACAATATAAGCAGCCTCTACTTTTTGACTTCTTGAATCCCGGGAAATCTTCTCTTACCTTCTCCAATCACCTCTTCCATATTCACACTTCCCTACGCACTTAGCATTTACTTGTGGTAGTTTTCCACTCTAGGTTGTGAGCTTCTGAAAAGCAGACACGGTGTCCTTCATTTCATATCTAAGAGCCTAGCATAGTGTTCAACATATAGTAGTTATTTGATATTTTTATTAATTGTTCTACTGTGAGGCCTAATTCTAACTCTTCATTCCTTATATCCTTAATGTGTGAACATTGGCGCCTTTGTAGGTTTGAACATGGGAAAAGGTAGCCAAATGAGTGCTTATATGTAGCTAGAAACAAAGAAACCTTCAGGCCTGGTTTCTGTTTCTTCTTTATTGAACTTTTAGTTTAAAAAGTAAAACACAACTTATTCTAATAGTTCAAATAGTACAGAAGTCTATAAAAAAAAAGTCAGTCATATCATACACTGTATTCTCCAGTCTTTATTCTTCTTACTCTTCCTCCCTCTGTCATATTTATGCTCATATAAATATTATTTGTACTTTAATATCATGAACTGTACTCTAGATAAATATTTTTTTATACTCAATACCATTTAAATTAATATATGCCTTTTAGCTATGGTGGATAATATACATTTAAACATGGTTTAAAAATTATTTTTCTTGTGCTATATTTCAAAAGGGAATGTGCCCCTTTTGTGTAATAAAATATGCATAACATAAAAGTTACCATTTGAACCATTTTTAGTTGGTCCGAAGGTTGTGAATTATTGTTAAGCTGAACCATTTTTAGGTATGGTTCAGTGGCATTAAGTACAGTCACATTGTTATGTAACCATAACCATCTTCCATCTCCAGAACTCTTTTCATTTTGCAGAAGTAAAACTCTGTGCTTAATAAAAATTAACTCCCTGTTCCCCCATCCCTAATTGCTGGCAGCCAACATTCTTTCTGTCTCTGTGAATTTGACTACTCTAGGTATCTCATATAAGTAGAATCACAGTATATATCTTTTTTATAACTGACATTTTACATAACATTGATGCCCTCAAGGTTCACCCATACTGTAGCATATGTCAGAATTTCCTTCCTTTTTAAGATTGAATAATATTCTGTTGTATGTATTTACCACATTTTGTTCATCCATTCATCTGTCAATGACATTGGGTTGCTTCCACCTTTTGGCTATTGTGAATAGTGCTGCTTATGAACATGAGTGTACAAATATCTGTTCAAGTCCCCGCTTTCAAAATCTTTAGGATATATACCTAGAAGTGAAATTGCTGGATCATATGGTAATTCTAGTGGTAGTATCTTGTTATGGTTTTGATTTGAATTTCCCTAATGGTTAATGATGTTGAGCATCTTTTCATATCTTTATTGGCTATTTGGAGATCTTCTTTGGGGAAATGTCTATTCAAGTCCTTTGTCCATTTTCGAAATGCATTGTTTTTTATTTTTGAGTTTTAGGCATTATTAGGCATTCTAGATATTAATCTCTTGTCAGATACATGATTTGCAAATATTTTCTCCCATTCTGAGGGTTGCCTTTTTTTCTGCTGTCTTTTGATGCACAGAAGTTTTAAATTTGATGAAGTCAGATTTATCTGTTTTTTTCCTTTTGCTGCCTGTGCTTTCGGTGTCATATCCAAGAAATCATTGCCAAATCCAGTGTCATGAAGCCTATGCTTTCTTCTGAGAGTTTTACAGTTGTAGCTCTTCCATTTAGGTCTTCATCTGAGTTAATTTTTGTAAGGTACGGGTCTGACTTCACTCCTTTGTATGTGGCTATCTAGTTTTCCCAGTACCATTTGTTAAAAAGACTGTCCTTACCCCATTGAATAGCGTTGAGACTCTAGTTGAAAATCATTTAACTATATATGCAAGGCTTTATTTCTGGGCTTTCTATTCTCTAACTCATTTTTAATGGGTGTTATTGATGTGTACAGCATGGACACATCATAATTTATTCAAACATCCTCTATTAATGGATATATAGATTGTGTTCAGGCTTTTGCCCCTACGTGCAATGTTGCAATAAACATCCTAGAGTATATAGTCCAGGATGAGTATATAGTCCATAATGTATTCACAGAAGTGAAATTGCCATATCAAGTGGTATGTTTAGTTTTTAATTTCAGTAGGCAGGGTTTTTTTTTTTTTTTAAGGATATATCAGTTTACATTTCTATCAGCAATAGATGAAAGCCTGTTTCTTCACATCCTTGGTATCATTTAGAAATCTTTTTAATGTTCCCAATATGATCAGTTTAAAATGGTAAGCGGCCTTATTAGTCAGTATTTAACAGTGAAAAGTGAAAGGATACTGATAAATAGTTCTTATATATTTGAAAGACATTTACTCTTGGTTTTAAAAAGAAAAAATCTCTGTCCTTTCATAACATGAAAAATGCAAATGAAAATAGATACTTATTTCTATGCACAGTTGAATAAGTAAGTTAATATTTTGAATCAATCGGGTTTTAAGTGTCTCTCCTGCTTTCAACCATTTTCTGCGGTAAGCAAGCTAGCCAATGACTTCTAATTTTTCTTAGCTCAATGCAGATACCGAAAGAGAAGAAGAAGAGTTTGAAGACAACATGGATGTTTTTGACGACAGCAGTTCCAGCCCTTCTGGCACCTTAAGAAATTACCCACTCACCTGCAAAGTTGTTTATTCCTACAAGGTTTGTATTTCTCTAACATATTTCTCCTATTAAATTGTGACAACTCTGAAGATATATGTAACAGTGTCTACTCAGCCTCTCTTACTGTCTCAACATAAAATTGGTGTTCAGTTAATATGAGAGGCAACATAATGATGAAGAGTCTAGGTTCTGACATCAGACAGCCTGGGTTAAAATCCTGTCTCTGCCACTTATGAGTTATATGACCACACTAGTCCCTTAGTCTCTGTGAACCTCAGTTTTCTTATTTATATGATGGGTTAATATTATAAGGCTAGTTTGAAGAGTAAATGAGATAAACACTCTTAAAACAAAGCACTTAGCACAGTGCCTGGCATCTCGTAAATTTTCAGTACATAGAACTCTTACCCTTATTATCAGTTGCCCAGTTGTCACAAGACCCTCCATTAGGATGATGCTCAAAACTGATATTAAAAGAAAATTGTTTTATAAAGCAGTTTTGTTTAACTTTACTTTCCTAATTTTAATATAACCACCTCTTGTTTAATATAACCACCTCAAGCAGAGACCTGGATAAACAGATGCCGGAATTTCCAAACCTGATTTGGTATAATAGCTCTTAATGTCTCTCACCCCTGCCCAGCTTTCACATTAACTTTTTATTCATACAAAGTAAATTGAATTTCAGTTTCCCAG